GTGAGTTCAAACCCCACGTTGGGTGTAGAGTTTACTTAAATAAATAAACTTAAAAAAAAAAACACACAAGAAAGGTCGGAATTAGTATTGGAAATATATACGCAAAGGCTTAAAGTCCTTAACATATGAAAAAAACTCTTTACATATCATTTAAAGAACCCAATACAAATCGCCTAAGAAAATCACATTAGAAAAAGAAAATACTGCTAGAGAGATGTGAGCAGAGATCATGAATAGATAGATAACTTAATGGCCGAAAAAGATATAAATGGCAAAGAAACATTTTTTGAAGTTTATCATAAGATACCTGTTAAGTTGGGATACATTATTTTTTAATTAATAATGCCCAATATTGAGAAGGATTTGGGAAACAGCATTATTGTACACTCTGGATATAGACCCAAACAGGCACAAAATATCTGAAAGCAAATTGGCAATATATGGCAAAAATTTTAAAAAGTCCCTACCTTTTTTTAATGTTTTATTTATTTTTGTGAGAGAGAAAGAGAGAGCAAGTGCGAGAGAGGGCGTGTGTGTGGACACGAGTGAGCAGGGGGCAGAGAGAATGAGACAGAGAATCCAAAGCTCTACCAGGCTACACACTGTCAGTGTGGAGCTCGAACCCACGAACCATGAGATCATGACCTGGGCCGAAGTCAGATGTTCAACCAACTGAGCCACCTGGGTGCCGCAAAAAGTCCCTACCCTTTAATCTGGAACACGTAGTGTATGCTTCAATATAAGGTGACCCTAACATAAGTCAATCCCCATTCTCCCAAATTAAAAAAAGGTTGTTGGGACACCTGACTGGCTCAGTTGGTAGAGCATGCAACTCTTGATCTCAGAGTTGTGAGTTTAAGCCCCACGTCGGGTATAGAGATTACTTAAAATCTTCAGGAAAAAAAGAAAAAGTTGTTTGGCTAACTGGATCATACAGACACTGGAAAATATAGACGAAATAGTAACTGTCCACCTATAATATTTAATTTAATAATTTAAATATATACAGATATTTAATAAATTGACGTAGAAACATTGTTTCTTCCACTTTCACATATGTCATTTTCACATTGATTCATATCTTCACTTGCATTTTGGTACAGTGCTTTTGCCATCATTAGATGTACTCTTTCAATGGAACACTTCATCTTTCTTCCATCTAGCATGTTTGAGTCACAGCGATGTTTTAAATCTATCCTTCATGCTATCCCTGAAAACCGTATGCCAGCATCAATTATACAATCACATTTCTCATTTGTTCAGTAAGTAGATAATCACAAACTTTACAATGTCACCATTTCCTTAATGATTTAAGTGATCTTTAAAAGATCTATTTACAATGATATCCAACATTTCCATGTGAGGTCACATCCTAGGAATATATTATGTTCAAATTTTTCGCATTTTTAAAAAACTGATTCAATCAAATGATCTCTACACGCATCCCAAACTAACACAGATTGAGGCCATTTCAGAGTTAAGTGCTTACCAAATTGTATTTTACTTCAAAATAAATTAACCACAAGTGTTCATTATGAGGATCTCTGTAAGGCCTCAAATATAAGGTAACTCTCTTTACTAAAGGAAAATTCAGGGGGAAAAACCCCTGACCTTTATTTGGCATAACTTTTTTTTTTTTTTTTAAGAGAGAGAGAGAGAGCTTGCGAGCGAGTGCACACAAGTAAGAGGGGGAGGGGGCAGAGGGAGAGAGACAGAATGTTAAGAAGGCTCCATACGCAGGGTGGAGCGGATGCAGGGCTCAATCCCACAACCCTGGCATCATGACCTGAGCTGAAATCAAGAGTTGGACGGATACTCGCAGTGCCTGGGTGGCTCAGTTAAGCATCTGACTTCAGTTTAGGTCATGATCTCACAGTTAAATGAGTTCAAGCCCCACATTGGGCTTTGCGCTGACAGCTCAGAGGCTGGAACCTGCTTCAGATTCAGATTGTCTTTCTCGCTCTCTGCCCCTCCCCCACTCACTCATTTTCTCTCTCTCTCTCTCTCTCTCTCTCTCTCTCTCTCTCTCATAAATAAATAAACATTAAAAAAAATTAAAGAAAAAAAAAGAGATGGACGGTTAACTGACTGAACCACCCAGGCACTCCTGGGCATAATCTTTTTACTGCTATAAACGCATGTTCCCACTATATTGGTAAATGAAAAAGGTAGATGGGTTACCTAACAATATGTAAAGTATCCACCTATATTAAACACACACACACACACACACACACATATACACACACAAAGAATAAAGACCTGACTTTAAAAATATGTACCTGTTGGTATTTTGCAAATATTCTACATTGAAGAATAACTTTGTAACAAGAAAAAACAATTAAAAATAAATGACGATAGGGGCACCTGGGTAGCTCAGTTGGTTGGGCGTCTGACTCTTGATTTTAGCTCAGGTCATGATCTCACAGTTTGTGAGATTGAGCCCTGAGTCTGAGTTTGTGCTGACAGCACAGAGCCTGCCTGGGATTCTCTCTGTCCCTCCCCTGCTCACTCATGCTCTCACTAATAAACATTTTTTTAAAAAAAGAAAAAAAATAAGCAACTATAGTATTTTTCAAAAACCACTAATTACTTAGCTCATTTTTACCTTGGGTCTGTCTGTATGTCACCCCTCTCATATATACTGTATTACTTCCCAGTAAAAAAAACCTGTATGTACTGTTAATGTGAAAACTACATAGCTCATATGCTATTTGTAACTCTTGTAAATAAAAGTGATACTACAAAATATAAGACTTGAGGGGCGCCTGGGTGGCGCAGTCGGTTAAGCGTCCGACTTCAGCCAGGTCACGATCTCGCGGTCCGGGAGTTCGAGCCCCGAGTCAGGCTCTGGGCTGATGGCTCAGAGCCTGGAGCCTGTTTCCGGTTCTGTGTCTCCCTCTCTCTCTGCCCCTCCCCTGTTCATGCTCTGTCTCTCTCTGTCCCAAAAATAAATAAACGTTGAAAAAAAAAATTAAAAAAAAAAAAAAGACTTGATCTATTCCAGAGGCACATTTCCAGGCTTTTCCCTAAGAGGTCACTACAATCTAAACTGTGTAGGACCACTGTGACATTACTAACTGGATCACTTGCATCCCAAGCACTTCTTACTATGGCAAAACATTAATTATGGCAAGGTCATGGCCTTAACATCTAAAAATCACGGCGTTATGATTTCCATACAAGAAAATATATCTATGTTAAACATACACTTTGAGTTCTAACTGGCTCTCACCAAGCACTGATCTGCTTTCTGTCAAAATACACTGTAAGTAGTTTTTATTTTTTATTTATTTTTTAAATGTTTATTTTTGAGAGAGAGGGAGACAGAGTGCAAGGGGGCAGAGAAAGAGGGAGACACAGAATCCAAAGCAGGCTCCAGGCTCTGAGCTATCAGCACAGTCTGACACGGGGCTCAAACTTGTGAACCGTGAGATCATGACCTGAGCCGAAGTCAGATGCTTAACTCACTGAGCCCCAGACGCCCGACTGGGACTAGTTTTTAAATGGATAGACTTTTAAAAGTCCTTTTAGTACAGTTCTGCCCTAAGAATGTCCTCCTTATTTAGATTCCTGGTTAACCAATCTTTCACATTGCTACTTTTCAAACAATCATGCTAGACAGCAAAACAAGAGCTCTTGACCAGTAAGGCAGGAGAACTGAGTATTTTTCTGTATTACAAACTGGTCTATTGGTGGAAATTAAGCCCATTAGCACATTTGCTCAAACTGTAACTTTTGGCCTATTTAAACACTTGATGATATTTTGATACAATTACGTGTGTCTTTTCCACTCCATACATTTGTATATGGCCTTCAGGGCAAGAACATTTTGGAGAGTTTTCTAGAGCATGAACATTTTTGCATGGTCTGTTTCGTACTAAAAACATGTATCTCCAAGACACTGGGCCACAATCACATAACTTCAGGACGGAATACAGTGAATTACATTCAAACACATGACTTGTCACTTTAATGCTCAACGCCAAGTACACCATCAAGCCACAGAGGACCAAAGTAAGTCACAAGGTAATGTTCTTGGACCTGCCTTTCCCTGTGCCTGTTCCCTGGAAATTTACAAGTTCTTTCAATGCAAACTTCTTCTACTCAGTACCATTCTTAAGACCTCAAAATGGGGCACTGTCAGGAAGGTTAAGTAAAGTGTGCAAGGAGTTTTGAGACCTCACCTGAGCTCTTTTGGTTGGTGACTGGCTTGCCTTCCTGAGTCACAGCGTGCTGGAACACATGCTGAGCACCCTGTACCGTGGCCCTCTTCAGGCAGATGTCCAGCAGGTCGTGGGTGGTCCCAACATTCTGGGCAAGTACGAACTGAGGGTCGGAGTTCAGTTTCTGAATCAGAGCAGCTACCTTCTCCGAATTCAGTCCTGTTGGAAGACCAAATGGAATTGATAGCATCAAAAGGGGGCTCAAGAGGGCTGATCCGGAGCTCCCACAGCTTGGCTCTAACTTCGGAACACCAGCCGGAGGTGACCCTTGCGGCGGAGAGGCCCCTTACCGGCGACCTCCTCCAAGTGCTGTCTCCCTCCAAGAACGCTCCAGCCCGCCTAGAACTCTCCATTCCCGCCATCGCCCCCGGTCCCAGGCCCGGTTCTCTCCGCCGCCGGGCCTCTGGGGCCCAGCTGAACCCCCCCCCCCCCGAGAGGACCCCGGCAGGGCCTCGGCGGGAAAGAGCGGCGCCTCACCCGCGTTGTTCATGGTGGCCACACCGCCCGGCTGGGGAACGGTAGTTTTGGGGTTCTCAGGGGAACGCCGGGGTTACACTGTGGCTCGCTGCCTCAGCTGCCGGACCTGCCACTCACACACCGAACGCCAGAAAGAGGGAACCGGCCCGGTGGCGGAGGAGGGCTGAAGCCCAGAGAAACGGGGTCCGCGGAGGGACAAAACTCCCCCTCGCGTTGCTGAGTCAGCGCCGTCTGGGCAGGCCCCGCCCGGGGGAGGGACGACCGGGCGGGCTCCCGACGAGCTCCATCCAGCTCGCGCCCCCGCCCCACCTCCGCGCGGCCCGGGGTCGACCCACGCGGCGCCGGCGCCCTAGCGCGTCCGGCTCGCGCTTCCTAGCCCTCGGGGCGCCCCAGCCGTTCCGTGCTGGATCCGGAGCCCGAATACTCTGGCCTTGGGGAATGGACCCATTAAGCCTTCCCGGAAGCCTAAAGGGCGCTCGAGGCAGTAAGGCGGAGCTGAGGGGCCGCATCATTAAGCCCAGGGTTTAAGGGTGGGTGGGCTCGTGCAGACACACACACAAAACGTTCCCAAAGGCTCTACCCGGAGGCATCCTTAGCTGACCATTCACTGCGTTTTCGATGGCAACTTGTTGCTTGGATTCTAGTCAGGACCAAGTTCTTGTATTTGAGGGGAATTTGGAACCACGCTCTTTCCCACCCACTCAGAAGCTACTACCACGGTTCTACAAATAAGACATCTGCTCGTTCAAAGAAAACTATCCATTCTGGGCTTCGTGGAGTCAGTGAGTGTTTCCTGCTTAGCCCAGCATGTACTGTGGGCTTAACTAAGGGGGATGACAGAGGTCAGTCTTATGCACCAACACTGTTTTGCCAGGCCCTCTACAAAACTGCAAATGAGCTGCCCCCCTCCTCTCTGCAGGCTTTCAAGATAACTCAGCGATTTTCCATGGTTTTGAGATTGTGATGCCCTTTAATATTGTTTTTCGTGCTATGAAATCTAAACCCACTGGGATGCGACCCACAGATGATAAAGCAAATACAAATATATCTGCCTTATCGCTGAAAATCCCGACTCTGCTACTCAGAACACTGAGAGTCTATTGTGGAACCTGGACTCTAGGAGCTATATTGAGAATCATCACTGGTTCTACAGAATTCTATTATCTGGAAAAATCCACACTCAGATACTAGTCATTTGAGAAAGCACAATCTCTTATGTTCCTACGGAGACCTAGCTAACATTTTGGGGATATGATATTAACTATCTCCAAAAGGGCCCATGGACTGTCCTGTTTTGAGATTCTTCTGATGGCTGAAGAAAGGGAACAGGTGGCAATTAGGCTGAAGGAAGTACTTTCACAAAATGATGCCCGAGCATCTTGCCCAATTCAACTCAAAATTTTATTCATTGTCTACAAGGTACCAGGCACGAAGCAAGCTGCTGATGATATGGAGACCAATAAAGCTTCAACTTCCCCTTAAGAAACTCACAGTGTAGTGGGGAAGATGCAAAATAACTTTTAGACAATCTATAGTAGCATACCAATAGTGCTGCAGAAACAATGATGAGAGAGCTGTTAATTAGGGCCAGAAGCTCCTGAAAAAAGAGGTGACAGGTGAGCATAATCTTAGAATGGATGGGATTTTATAAGGCAAAAAAGAGGAAGGGCACGCAAGGCAGCAGCAAAGGCACAGAGCATTAAGGCACACAGCAAAATCATGTTGAAGAAACTGCATCAGAGTCTGATGTGGTTAAGAGCAAGGAAGGGTTTGAGATCAGGGGCGAGGTATAGAACTGGAAAGGTAGCTTTGGTCAGGATATGAAGGGTTTATATGCCATGCCCCAGCATCTGTAGTTTAACCTATGAGTAATTAGATGCCAAAATTGATTTTTAAACAAAGGAACGATGTGCTCAATTCTGTGTAAAGAAAGAAACCCAACGGCACTGAGGAGGGCGACTTAGAGGGGAGAGATTCTGGAGATAGAGAAACTAGTTAGAAGACTGTTCCAGTAGTGTCTGTAGAAAACGATCCTTAAATTGAGGAAAGGGAAGAGACACAGATAATCTGGAAGTATTCAGCTGAGCGAGAAACTGGATCGTGGTGTCATTAACCAAGAGAGGGAGTACAGAAAAATAGGTATTTGGGAGTATGCAATTAAGCAGGTAATGAATTCAGTTTGGGCCTTGGCAAGTTTGGGGCACCCACAGGACCCCCAAGAAGAGAAATACAGGAAGCAGATGAAAGGATGTCTAGAGATTAAGTAAGACATGCAAGTCTTGGAACCATGAAAGTCAACAGGTTGCAGAGGAAAAGAGAGTAAAGCAAAAAAGGGATGAGGACTGGGGATAGTACCCTGGGTGGCAGCATGCGGTTTTATAGGGTGTTTTCCAAGCTCTGCTTGCCAAGCCACGCGCTCTGGCCCGTGGCTGTCTTCAATCAGAGCATGCTGCATCTTTTACAGGTCATTACAAGGAAGCCATATGGAAGTGCCATTAACTCCAGTTAACAGCAACATTTCAGGAATGATTGAAGACCGGGGAGCCAGCAGGAAAGGACAGAAAAGAGCAGACAGAGAGGTAAGAGACTTGGAGTGTTATGTCTTGGAATCCCAGGAAGGCAAGGAGAAGACGGTGAAAGGACTGAAAGCTACAGAAGAGTTTGGCAATCGGATCAGGGGCAGCCTTAGAGAGGGCAGCTTAGTGGAAGGGTGCAGCAGACAGAAGCCACGTTACAGTAAGTTGAGAGGGAAGAAATGTTAGGGAAGCTCCTTCGGGAGGAAAGGAAAACTTATGTCTACCAGGAGGATGAAAGGCAGGAACCAGATGCCAGAAGGGTATAGTTGCTAAGATAAGAGCCTAGAAAAAGAGGAGTGATGGAATCAACAGGGTAGGTGGAGGGGACCAGTTTTACAGCTACTGCCACCCTGTTCATACCAATAATTACATTTCCCCACCCCATGCTCAGAGATTCCTATCATCACTTTGCCAGGTCTCCTACTCTGCCCACATTGTCAGGGTGACACCCTTAAGTGCCAGCTTTCCACCCAGCAACTCACACCCATACAGTCAGCCCCCATATGAGCACAGACAAGAGGTGTGGAAGAAAACTGGCTTCCCAGTGGGCTCACCCCAAATGACCTAGCCAGGAAGACATACATGTCCCCCAAAATACAATTCTTAGGATCTACCCCTCTAGCTCCATCCAGAAGAGATGTTGTTGGGCCCAGTGACACCTCATGGAATGAAGCAACTAGAAACAATTCCAGTATGAAGTCCACAATATTAGAAAAGGAAATCTTTATAAACCCTGTGAAGTGGCATCACCTGCTGTTGCGGGTGTGCCTACTGCCTGTTGCTTCCATGGGCTGTACCCAGTTAAAGCCAACAGGACAAGTCTCTGAGCAAATTCTGCATCCTGGTTCCCCTTCTGCACTGTCCACCAGTCTCTGACAAGTGTCGGTTACCTGCTTCTACTTTGGCGGAAAAGACCAGGTTTTTATGTTGGATGGAAGTCTGGATTATTATCTAACACAAATATTTTGCATATAAATGTTGCCTTAACACTGAGGTTTGCTTTGGTCAGAAAGCCTCCTGGTATTGGGGTGCCTGGGTGGCTCAGTTGGTTGGGCAGCCAACTTCAGCTCAGGTCATGATCTCGCAGTTCATGAGTTCGAGCCCCACATTGGGCTCTGTGCTGGCAGTTCAGAGCCTGGAGCCTGCTTCGGATTCTGTGTCTCCATCTCTCTCTGCCCCTTCCCCAGTCCTGCTCAGTGTCTCTCTCTCTCTCTCAAAATTAAATAAACATTTAAAAAATTTAAGAAAAAAGGAGAAAGCCTCCTGGTATTTCATTACACCAGACAGTAAACTTCAGACGTCACGTATTGGTGTCCTGCTGGGCCAAATTCAACTCCTAGATGTATCGTTTGGCCTACATGGTGTTTTAAAATTGTTGAGCCAATATTTAGGATTGGGACATTTTGTATACAAATCTGGGTTACTGGCTTCTCTTGAAAATATTGTTTCAAAAAAAATTCTTTTCCCCCACAATAGTCATTTCTCCATCAAAAGTGAAAAAAACAAAAAACAAGGGGGCCCACATAATTTTCTTTTTTTTTTTTTATTTTTTTTAAATTTATTTTTGAGACAGAGAGAGAGAGAGACAGAGCATGAGCAGGGGAGGTGCAGAGAGAGAGGGAGACACAGAATCTGAAGCAGGCTCCAGGCCCTGAGTTGTCAGCACAGAGCCCGATGAGGGGCTCGAACTCACGGACTGTGAGATCATGACCCGAGCCGAAGTTGGACACTCAACTGACTGAGCCACCCAGGCATCCCCCATATAATTTTCTTTATATTGAGCTTTCTTGTTTCACTCATTTCCATTTATTACATTTATTTATATTTGAGTTTTTCATCCCCTGATTTCGGGTGGCCTAGGTGGAGTTTGGGAAGACTACTTCTCTCCTATACTCATCCCTACGCATAACCTCCAAATTCCTTCCTCCCTGAGATGTGCAAAGTCTGCAGGAGCTGACTTGGATAAGGCTTTGGATAAGATCAGATACTGGATCTTGGGACTTTTGGGGGCCCAAAGAAGCCCATATCCCTTCACTACACTTTTCCTCCAGATGAACCCATCTGAGTACAGGTAACTGGCAACTTCAGGACTTCTATCTTCCCTACTATTCCTAAACCCCATGTAGGCTTAATCCAACCCTGTTACCCCTCCTTCAGATTCAGATTTTAAGGATTTGACATATTTGACATCAATTGTAAATCATGTCTTTTTTTTTTTTTTTTTTGAAACATTGTCCAATGTTCTAGAATGACATCGATACACAGCAATATTATTCCTACTTCTGGATATGACATTTCTGCAACTCACTCACTGTTCTGGGTGCTAGCAATTCACAGAATATACAGGTAGAGGAACCAGCATATGCAAAGGCAAAGAGGCACAAATGAGCTTGAGTGTGATTCGGGAAAAGTAAGAAAGTCTGGACAAGTTTTACGAATATTTTAATTATACAAATTTGAAGTAGTTCATCATAAACTATTTTTTAAAGTTTATTTTATTTATTTTGAGAAAGGGAGATAAAGAGCAGGTGGGGAGGGGCAGAGAGAGAGAGAAAGAGAGAAAATTCCAAGCAGGCTCCCCAGTGTCAGTGCAGAGCCCCATGTAGAGCTTGAACTCATGAACCATGAGATCGTGACCTGAGCTGAAATCAAGAGGTGGGCACTTAACCAACTGAGCCTCCCAGGCACCCCAATTATAAACCTTTTTTTTTTTTTTTTGAGAGAGAGAGAGAGAGAGTGAGAGAGGTCACGAGTGAGCGAGGGTGGGGAGAGGAGGGAGAGAGAGAAAGAAGCAGGGCTCACCAAAGGGGGCTTGAGCTCGCCTGAAGCAGGGCTCCTGCTCACCCAATGCGGAGCATAAGCTCTCCTGATGTGGGACTTGAAGTCATGAACCGTAAGATCATGACCTGAGCCGAAGTCAGATGCTTAACTTGCTGAGCCACCCAGGCACCATTATAAACTATTAATAACACCTTAGTGTACGCACAAAATTTGAAGCAATGTGAAGCCTTCACATGTTTAACATTTGTCAGAAATGGCATATTTTCAAAGCTGGTGGTGGCTCAGTGAATCAGAAACTACTTATGCTATTGCCACATGGCGGAGCCATTTTAGCTAGTAAAATAGTATCTTCCCTTCAATAAATTTACATTTATCACTAAATAGTCTTGAATTATAGATGTTTTAAATTTTGTGTAAAGTTTTCAGGAATGTATCCCTTCTCTAAAATTCAACTGCACTGGAATTTGGTGTGGCAAGACTAAACTATGGGGGTGGGGGAGAGAAGATATATAGGTGGTAAGAAATAAGGTTTATAAGACTTTATATTCATATTGTGAAGCATTTGGAAGATCATATGTCTTTTATTCATGGGGATATTACTATATCCACAAATTCCCCCATAGGTGGTAAGGAGAGAAAATCATCTTCAAGTGATATTGCCCATAAAGGCAATAGGTTAGTGTTTTATTTCTCCCAAATATTTCATTTCCCCCTCCCTTTCTTCCTTTCCTTTTTTCTTTCTTTTAGTCAACGGCTTGTTGAACATCTGCTGTTTGTCAGCAACCGTACCAGGCACTTGAAATACAAAAATGGACAAGACCTTGGTCCCTGACCTCAAGGAGCTTCAATCTAGTAGAGAAAATGAAAAATGAAAGTAATCATTATTTTTTGATTAATGCAAAAAATATGCATTGAGTACATACTATGTGTCAGGTGGGGCACCTGGGTGGCTCAGTCAGTTAAGCGTTCAACTCTTGATTTCCACTCAGGTCATGATCTCGTGATCCTGAGATTGAGCCCCTAATTGACAGAGTGTAGAGCTTGCTTGGGATTCTCTCTCTCTCTCTCTCTCTCTCTCTCTTTCTTTCTCTCTGTCTCTGCCCCTCTCCTGCTTGTGCATTCTCTGTCTCTCTCTGTCTCTCTCTCTCAAAATAAACGTAAGAAACAAAAAACAAAACAAAACAAAAAATTACATGTCAGGCACTGTATTAGATACAGAAATACACAGGAAAGCCAGACAGACAAAGTTCCTGCCCTCCTGGTGCTTGCATTCTAGTGGGCGAGACAGAATAAACAAATGCAGATGATTCTAACAGTGATATAAAGAAAATAGGACAGCATGACTTGATAGTGACTGGTCAGAGATGGTAGTAGCATAAAAAGCCCCTCCGAGGAAGTGACTAATACTGAATGGCAGTAAAGATCTGGCCATGGGAGGATCTCTGGGGAAAAATAGCAAGAAAAGGGGAAAGCAAGGGCAAGGGCCTCGGGAGGGAAACAAGCAGTGGCCAGCAAGGTCATGAAGAACCCAGCTTCTTTCCGGCACCAGGATCTGCCATCCATAGTGTTACTACCATTCTTGGGCTTGTTCCCCTTGTGTTCCTTCTTCAAGTCTAGTGGGGGGAAAACAATCTGGCTTTTTTTCACTTCCTTCTAGGAACTTCATTCACTTCCTTCTAAGAGTTAAGACCACCAGAAGCTTCCAGCAGATTTCATCCTGAATTGTATTGTCCACAATGAGGTCACATGTCTGTTCCCAAAACAGTCATTGACTAGGGGAATGGGATTACCCCTACATCAGTCAGGCCTATCCTCATGCAATAGTTAATTCCCCAAACATCATTGCTTCTCCTGAGTGCAGGATGGGTGGGATGGCTGTTGGGCATCAAACACAATGTTCACTACATCATAGTAAGATGTTTAGATTTTATTCTAAGTGCGATGGAAAGGAGTGAGGGGACATGTTCTTGTTTATGTGTTTTTTTAAATCTTTATTTATTTTTGAGACAGAGACAGAGCACGAGCGGGGGAGGAGCAGAGAGAGAGGGAGACACAGAATCCGAAGCAGGCTCCAGGTTCCAAGCCGTCAGCACAGAGCCAGATGCGGGGCTCGAACTCACAAACCGCGAGATCATGACCTGAGCCGAAGTCAGACGCTCAACTGACTGAGCCACCCAGGGGCCCCTGTGGTTTTTTTTAAATGTTTGCTTTTGAGAGAGAGAGAGAGAGAGAGAGAGAGAGAGAGAGAGAGAGACTGAGCAAAAGTGGGGGAGGGACACACAGAGAGAGAGAGAGAGAGAGAGAGAGAGAGAGGGAGACACAGAATCTGAAGCAGGCTCCAGGTTTTGAGCTGTCAACGCAGAGATGGATGAGGGGGCTCATACTCACCAACTGTGAGATCGTGACCTGAGCTGAAGTCGGTTGCTGAACCGACTGAGCCACCCAGGCGCCCCCGGTTTATGTTAAGGATACACTGAAGATATTTGTAACATATTTTATTAGGAAAAATAGTATTAAAAATATACACAGGGGCGCCTGGATGGCTCAGTTGGTTAAGCATCCAACTCTTGATTTCAGCTCAGGTCATGATTTCACGGTTCATGGGATTGAGCCCCACATCCCCTGCTGATGCTCTCTCTCTCTCTCTCTCTCTCTCTCTCAAAATAAATAAAACAAACAAAACAAAAAAATATATGTGTATGTACAAAGAAGGGCACATGGTTGGCTCAGTCAGTGGGTCATGTGCCTCTTGATCTCAAGGTTGTAAGTCCCAAGTTGAGCATAGAGATTACTTAAAAAAAAAAAATCT